ATCCATGGAAAAAAGCCCAGCCCTGCCAGCCGTGTCCCATCGACCTTGTGGCTACAAGATGGCGCCACGTCAATCGAAAGGGCGATGGGTTTGATCGAAACCGTCCACGTTGATCCGTTCGTCCAGATTTCATGGGATTTGGCTGAAATCTTGTACAATGAGCAGCTCCTTGGCCCTTGAAAATTTGAATTTGGGGAATTGATTTTCTAATTCCTATCCTACCCTTTCCCCCAATTTCGAACCCAAATTCCCTTTCTATAAATATCCTCTTCTTGTTCTCGATTAAGGGGGGAGAAAATATTAAGAGTTAGCTAAGTGTTGAGAGGAAGAAATATATTTAAACCAAAATTTTTTGAAGTTTCTCGGAGTTGTGTTTCGGTGTAAAAATTGCTGATCATCCTTGCTCGTTCCCGTTTCTAGTCTCGTTGCTAAAAAAAGGGTAAAATCCTCTTTCTCTTGATATTTCAATTCGTAGTTGGTTAGTTATTGAGTTGGAATTTTGTTTCAAGTCATTCTGTTTGTTTTTGCTATGAAAACTAGTAGATGTATATTGTGTTTTTCTTTAGTGTAAGTTTTGATCTTTGTTGCTTATTGTTATTCATCACATAAGATAACTTCTTTGAAAGGTAAATAATATTGAAAGTTTGAGTTTTAGATACAAATAGTTATCGCTCTGTCGATTTGGAATCATGTTTCTTGCTCCCTGAATGGACAAAATGTGAATGCTTAGACAAATCATTGTTAGTCTCATCTCTGTGCGAACTGCATCTTGTATGAAAATTGTTCCTCTCTTTTCAACTCTCATCGATAGCTTAGTTTGAGACATTTTTCATGATTATTTTGCATTTAACCTCCTAGTCTAGTTTTCCTTGTTTAGCCGAAGTTCAATTGGCTTCTTGGTCGTTACATGTGACCTTCTTAATTGGTAAATTCGTGATTTGCTCAAATGTCATTCTTGCTTAGCTCTGATCAGTCAATTGTAGCTATTAAGGCTTGACATGGTTTCTTCTCCCTGCTTCATTATGCTTATGCATATTGTTCTTAGTGTTCCTTTCTCATATGTCCATATACTTAGCATGTGTGAGCTCATTTTTTAATTAAGGCTAGATAATGACTAGTTAGTTCTAACTTGGTTACTTCTCTCCTAATGATCTTGGTTGGAATGTTAAGAATATTAGTTGGGTTTTAAGTTTGATTAGTTTTGATTTTAGTTGTATTGTTGCTTGTTGTCATATATCTTTGTGAGTAATAATTTGTCAAGACAAATTGAAATTGTTCCCTATCATGGGCTTAATCACATAGGAATTATCTTGGATCTTTTATGATGTGTGATTCTTGAAACATTAGCACATGGGTTCCTCCTTTTACTTGATTTTTTTTTTTAGTCAATAGGTTTCTTATTTATATATTTTCTATTTATTTACGTTGCATGTAAACTCCCTTGGGTGGAGTCCAATTTGGACTCGAATGTTTCCGAACTTGCATTTCGAATAGGCCACGGAGGCCAAAATCCTTTCTCCTCCTGTCAGTCTCGCTCATCAGGATACAAGAAGATAAAGGGAAGCTGAAACAGGTCTAAATGAAGCTGCTACAAGTTTCGGAAAGCAGAAAAAAGGGTTGTATACATCAGATATACACTCGTATACAACAACTATATACCAAAAAGGTATTGAGCCAAAAGCCCAAATCAGCAAAGAGTTTTGCCCCAAAAAAAGGGACCCAAATTCATTTCCCCTTTGCCTTTAAATTATTTTATTGTCTTTATTTATTGTTTGTTTTCTTATCATTAACTTTAACTTTATAATTGTGATTTAGCTTAATTAGATTCCCCAAAAGATGAGTTATTTTCTTTGGGTTGGTTTAATTTTAATACATTTCTTTTTTTTTTGTGTTCATTTATTTTATTAATTAAGTATATTGATCAAAATTTTGTATCTTCAATTAAGTTAAACATTTGGTTCTTAAAAAGAGATGTTCTTTAATGCTTTTCACTTAATCGCATTTTATTCATTTTAAAATTATTTTTTTAAGTTAAAGTATTTTTCTCAAATAAACTTTAAAAATGTTCGTCAAAACCTCTTCAATTAATTAAAATAAAATATACTTACTTAGTCATTTTCTCAAAAAGGGTTAGTCCATTAATTTAAAATGAAGTTCATGATTTAATTTTTTAAATTGGTTTAAATTATTATTTCAAAATGAATTAAAAAAATTCTAATTAATCTAGTTTTATTAATATTCTAATCACTTGTATTTCGAGTCAAATGTTACATTTTGGACCCCTTTCTCTAAAAAAATAAAAATAAAATAAAATGCGTCATTTATTTCATTATTTTTCTCAAAGTTAACCAAATATTGCAAATTATTATTCTTATGTTAAATCATTTTTTTTAAATAGTCAAAATATATTTTAGTCAAGTCGTAGGTCAACCGCATGTTAGCGGACACTTCGAATGCTTAAACCCTTCTCGAAGTGTAAATTGAACCCCGAACCCTCTTTGGTATTTTCAAATGATTTTTTTCTGTTTAAATCTTTGAAAATTATAAGTTTTCTTAATTTCTTTAAAAAATTAAGTTGCAACTCTTTTTAAGTGTTTTTCCTCAAATTGTTTTATACTTAGAACATTTCAAAAAAATTGATTTTTCTAAAGATAGGAAAATTACGACACAACAAACATCACTTCACGGATTAGAAGTTCTAAGTTCTTGTCCATATGCTTCAAGTTTGTTGTAGTCATCAAGAAAACTCCCTTCTAGCTTTTCAATAGCCAACCTCTTAGCCCTTTTAACCTTAGATGTAGACACATTCATGTTAAAATAGTCTCTAACTCTTCACGCATGTCTTTTGCCTTAAATTGAGGATTGTACTGAACTTTTCTCTTGAATAAATGTGCTAGTGTGTTAGCATTAGCCCTCGAATATTTATAAGTAGAATCACATGTATGTACTGAATTCAATGTTTTGATGGAACAAGTACTACTTTTCTTATCCTTTGATACTAAAATTGTGAAGGGGCAGCCTTTAACACATTTATACCTGGCTCTAGTTATATCGATTTTCTTCACCCTTAGTCCATAACGATTGGCCATTGCATAGAAGCTTATTACCCTTCTAGCTTCCGGGATATCCTTAAATGTTTGCCCTTTCTCCAAAACTTTATAATTCTCCAAACTATCAGTCACACCTCTTCTTTTTTCTTGGCTAAAGACCTCAAGTTCTTCCTCATTATAATCATTAGAATCTGATTCGTCGAATTCACTAGAACTACTTTCTTGGTCAGAAGCTACATCAACATCCACATTATATGTCTCAGTATGAAATGTGATGTTTTGAGCAAAAATACTCAAATTGAAAGAATTTACAGCAAATAAATTTATCACTCTAAACTTCTTACTGAATAAGTACTGCAAAGTTCTTATACCATCATCGTCTATCACCAAATAGTACCTTCCAGAAGGTCCAGTTACTAAATGTTGATTTACTTTAGTGAACCCTAAATTCTTTGTGAACTCTTTGCAAACATCAGCAAATCTAACATTATTGGCTTCATACCCAGACAAAACATGCACCGAATTCTGATTATATAATAGCTCAGGAGAAATTACCCATGTACCCCCGTAGTGAAAAATAAAGTCAACTTTGTCAATCATCATCAAATACAACCCAAGAAAAAGGAACAAAGAAGGGCCCATATCAGTAACTAAACACAATTTTAGTTCAAAAAAATCATAAAGAATCTCATATAACATAATAAAAAATTTCGGCACCACAAAACACCCAACAAAATCATAAAAAGATGAACTTTATCTCTAAAACTAAGTTCTTTTATGTGAATATTAACTGACAACAACATTATATTACACATAACCCAACAATACTTGATTTTGACAAAAACACACAAACCCAATTTGATTCTGACCAAAACATCCTAATCCTACATTAAAATATGATGAATATTAGTAACATACCTTGAATCTATAGCTTTATATTTTATGAGAAACTTGATTGTCTTGCTTCAAAAGTTGGTAAAATCCTCACAATAAGAAACCCTAATAAGAAGCATAGTGTTCATCTGAACTACAAGTGGGATAGTTTGATCTAGAAATGATTGGAAGAAGAGTAAATAGAAAGGTGGGCCGGGTTAAATGGTAAATGGGTCAGGGTAAAAATAATAAAAAATTAAAAATCTAATAAGTGAAAATGTTAATTAAGACTAATTAAATTGTTTAAGAAGCTGCCGTTACTTCCGTTTCATTAAGGGCATTTTTGACCCATTTCTCTAGCAATAAAGGCATAAATGAACCAAAGTATAAACGAGAGACATTTTTGATCTTTTCACCCTTTTCCCTAGTATAAAAGATGGAGAGATATACTCCCCCATATATTTTTAATTATTTAATTTGGATTTGTACGCTTCTTAAAAAATAATAAATTGATATTAATATTTTATCATAATATGCATATTAATTAATGATTTTTTTTTTGTAACTAACATGAATGTTATTAGTCACCAATTTCAAGCATTACAACTCGACTAGCTATCTACAAATTCATTGATCGTGAATTTAGACATAAAAATTTTAAATTTTAAAAAATAAAATTTATATATTGAAAATTATATAAATAATACTATAAATTACAATAACTATTCATTGATTGTGAATTTAGACATAAAAATTTTAAATTTTTAAAAATAAAATTTATATATTGAAAATTATATAAATAATACTATAAATTACAATAACTATTCATTGATCGTGAATTTAGACATAAAAAATTTAAATTTTTAAAAATAAAATTTATATATTGAAAATTATATAAACAATACTATAAATTATAATAACTAATAACTTAATATATCAAAAAATAAAAAAATTAATTTAAAAAAATATTGATGGATATAAAAATTCTAATCGTGTCACATAAATAACGGAACTAAGACGGAGGGAATAATATTTATCATGCAAATTGTCAATAGGGGAAAGGAAATACGACACCTGCAACAAATCCCCAAGTTTAATTTTGGTGAGTTTCTAAAAATACAGATTTCTCGCTATGTCATGCCTATAAATGTAACGAACACAGGCTTAATTGTGGTAAAGATTACTACTTTTTCTCTGGTGAGCTCATCGTCTCGGTTCAATTTTTCTTTTTTTCCTTGATTCATCTGTAATAATATATGATTTTATGAAATGGGTCTGGTTATTTTGTACCGATTCTTCGAAATGTAACTTTGGATCGATTATCTTGTTGTACTAATGTTTCAATTTGTGATGAAACAGTGATTTTCGTGGTTGAATTTAGGGTATAATAATTTTGATCGGTTTATTTGAAGGTACATTGCAAGTTGAGAAAATGGGTAGGCTTTTTGTGATAACTCTTGAAGGAAGCATCTACAAATGCAAGCACTGTCAAACCCATTTTGCTTTGGCTGATCACATTATTTCTAAGGTTGGTTTTTCCCCCTTTCTCTATTTTGGTTGTAGGGCCCATTTCTATGGGCGCGGCGCTCTCAATAGGATTTTTTTTTCAGGCTTGAATCCGAAATATCAACTAGTTGGGATTAAGGCCTATTTACAATACATACACGAGGTTCGGTGTTTGCTACGAGTCTTTTTGGTTTGGTTGAATATGTGTATGCCAATGTAGGAAAAATAGCTGTACCATTTATAAAGTCTATAATTTAGGTGAACCACTAAGTTGTCTTTAGTATGTTAGTAATTGAATGAAATAGGCTCAAACAACAAGGAATGGATATAAAGGATTTATATGGTCGACCCAGCTAACTTGGGATTGAGGCACAGTTGATTGAGTTATGGTGTTTTTTCACCGACATCTTTATTATTATGTGAATTAAGCAAAAGTGGAATCTTTAATCCTATTCAGAAAAATAGGTTTGGAATTCTATGATATATCATCCTTTGGATGGAAAATGAACCAATTTCTGATTTTAATCATCACATGAGTATGGTTATCTCTCTCTTCCCCCTTCCCCTCTTCCACTCCCCACTTCTCTTCCTCCCCACCCACCCCCTACCTAATTGGTGCTTTTGCTACTAGTTGGAAACTTGGATTGGAATATGAGAAGCAACCTAGCTAGATATATCTCAGTAAAATTGTAGGCTATTATCTTGGAGTGATAAATGATGAGTGTTTTTTAAAAGTTTTCCATTATCCAACTTGGTAGGCAACCTTCTCTTTACGAAGTGCGGTATTCCCTATAAGAATTTCTTGATTCGCCTCCATGTAATACTAGACTTTGTTTAGAGCAAACTGTATTTCATTTTTACGTTTTATAGAGGTTGCCCATCAACTAATTATGATTCCATTAGTCTCTTTCTGGTTATCCGATATATTTTTATCACATTTTGGTTTGTATTTTCTTTCGTTACCTCGACACGTAACATTTTGCCAGCAATAATCAGGTTTATGTCAACATGTCTAAAAAGTTATATTTTTCAAAATATTACAATCAGACAAATCAAGCATAACCTTATCTGTGGGTTTTACAAACTGCAACCTGTTATTGTCGGTCGATTTTGTCCAAGTGTATTTGTAAAGAAGTGGAAATTGGACCTAACTCAACTTCAAGATCTAGCTCAAAAGATGAGGATTGATCTTTGACAATATAAGGAGATAAACCCACTCATTTTTCGCTTTGGGGCTTTGAGAAGCAGTACTTAAGAGAAGTACAATAGTCGGTTCAAGTTATAGAATCTAGAAGATACAATGAATTTGAGGATTGTCAGTTGTTTTCAAAAGTTAAGAATCATGAAGTGATAGGAATCTTGAATATTTGTGATTCATGAGTCTTTCACGTAAGGGGATTAGTTAGGAAAGGGGAATCCTACTATTAGGTTGAATACATTGATCTCAGTTCATTTGAACATTTTTTTTTTTACCTTATCATTGTAGGTTCTTATTAACTTGTTAAATTCATAGTCCCCAAATGTGAATGCAATTTGTTAATGATTCTTTTCCATTTTAAGTTGAAGGATGAGAGTCAATTATATCAAAAAAGGAAAAGATCAGTTAATTTCCTTTTCATGGAAGAACAAATTTTTAAGAGATGAAACCTAGGCAAAAAGAAATTGGGTGCATAAGTGAAGCCGATGTTCTGAGGTCTTGTCTGTGGTGCCCATAATCAACTTCAGATACAAGGGCGTCTTATCTATTGATTTTCTCTGGAGTCTGGAGTCTGGAGATGGAATCCTGATTGCTCGAAATTGTGATTGTCGATTTAGTAGGATTGTGGGAATGCGTTGGCCTTAGAGAAGGGTCCACTATGAAATGGATCTCACCATTTTAATCATTAGGTTGGCTTTACATGGCTTATCTCTCTCATAATCTGGACTCTGGAGCAGGGGTTTGTGTAGCTTGCAATAGATAGTTACCCCAGTGCCCAAACCTCTGGGCATAGTCCAGTTTTCTTAGCATAAGGCTTCTTCTATAGAGCTTTCTTACCTATAAATGAGTTAAGTAGTAGATCACCACAAATTGTTGGGTTCTCGTTTGTGTCTTTTTCTTATAACCATGACTTAAGCACTGACATACTGATGCTTCACAATGGCAGAAATCCACTTTGGGTCTTGATGTTGAATTTTTTATGGCACTAGTTGCCATTGTAGTTCACATAATACTGCCACAACCATTTACCCATCCTGTATCGATGGAAGAGAGCTCTGAATTTAATGCTGGATAATCATTCTAATACTCAATATCCCTATATTTTAACAGTGAGACTTTGTTATACTAGCCATGGAAGACAAAGTCATGCAAAACATCAGCTGTTTGATATTGTTAGGCAACATGTAACAACCAAATAGAAGTAACTGATCATACTTCTTATACTGACAACCTATGGTATCTGAAGGATCTATGATTCTTGTTTATAAGTTATGTTTGTAGGTAATTATGTGACTTTTTCATCTTGAAGGTTCGCCTTCAGTCTTAGTGTGTTGGTTCCATTTTTCTATGACGAAGTTTGGATAACTTTCCATTTGTTGTTATCAGTTTTATATAAGGCCAACTAGCATTTCTTGTCCTTAAGTCTAATCTTTTCAACCATTTCAATCTTTTTCTATCTTATTCCAATCTATGTGAGTATTGAACTCGCTAGTTTTTTAGAATATAAATGAAGTTAGGCACTTTCTAATGGGTATACCCTTGAAGAGACCACCTAGAACCATCATGTCCAATATATTGCTATCTTATTTCTATCTATGTCAATATGACTTACTAGGTTATTTCGAATACAAATGAAGTTAAGTCACTTCTAATTGCTATTCCCTTGAAGAAAGCTGTACTGATGCTATTAGTAGTTGTTACTGGTATTATTCCTTGTCTTCTGGATTATGTTATCTTTATGCTACTAACTGCAAACTGGCTGGAAAACACATTACACTTACGTAAGTTATGATATTTCTGCTTTACATATATGTATTCTAATGATCTTGTAAGTTTTTTTTACAGTCATTCCACTGCAGTCATGGGAGAGCTTACCTCTTTGATAAAGTGTAAGTGTTCTTTGACTTGTGAAGCTCAAAATTACCTGCCATTTTATATGGAGTGCTTTCACCTTTAATAGTGGAGGAAAACTTTGAAGCCATCAGTGATTAAAATCAGGCAGTGAATGCTTGAATTATATCAGTTCATGCATCTCCAATTCTCTTATAACTTAATTTTTTTGTTGCAATTACTTGAACTACTAGCAACATAATCTACTTGAGGTCACAACGGTCTTTGTAGTGGTGTTATGCATCACAGAGTAAGATTCACATTTCTCAGATACTATATTGGGGATAGGCATAGTAGACACAGTCATTACATGCAATTCTTCATGCTTTGCACTTGCAATATCGTGTTTTATGTCTTGCTCCTTTTTTGTGCATTGCAGTGTGAATGTAACCGTTGGAGCAAAAGAAGAGCGGATGATGATGACCGGAATGCACACTGTTGTTGACATATTCTGTGTGGGGTGTGGCTCAATTGTGGGCTGGAAATATGTGAGCTTTCTCTTCACCAAAGATCTGATTTGTATCTCTCTTTTTCTGATCTTTAGTTACCCTGATATTCTTACTGTCAACTCTCAACTAATTCCCAGGAAGCCGCACATGACAAGACTCAAAAGTACAAGGAAGGGAAATTCATTCTTGAGAGGTATCTAGTGTGCTTTCGCGTTTTAATGTGGCATCTTGGTATTCCAAGAGTTTAATTCTCTTGTATTTTTCTTTGTACTATTAATCTATAGGTTTAAGGTCGCGGGTCCAGATGGAAGCCTCTATACAGTAAGCCATGATGATGAGCTTGGAAGCGATGATGAACCTTAACTAGCCATCCTACCATATCATTACTCATCCCTTAATAGTCAACTGTACATACTCTAACTTCCTCCCTTGTTGGTATAAGGAACCTTGATTTTCATACGCTAACTTGTAATAGCCAAGTTTTACAGGATACTTTTAGAATGGTCATCCTTTTAGCTCTTATACTTGTTTTGACGGAAGTGAAGTATTCAGTTAGCAGTTAGCAGATCGGTTTGTTTAAGCAACCAGAAAGTGTAATTTCAGTATTTTGGCTGAAGTTTTTGTTTGATCTTGATCACACTGCCAACCACATTTAGGTACGTAAATTGTCGGGGGACGCGCGGTCTCTTAGGTCACATCGGTAACTGCCTTGTACCCAGCTGTTACCAAGGTCCTCTGGACTCATATTGCTGTAAAAGATGGAGATTAGTAAGTAGCCAAAATGGTGTAGAAGAGGAGCCCAAGAAATATGAATAAAGGTAATAGTGGAGAAGCATTTGATAGTTGATACCATGTCAAATATATGATTCATAACACATCACTAGAATATTTATAATGTGCAGATTATTTTTTTTATAGGGAGCGTTTTCTTATCCAATGGGCCTTACACCATGACTATGAGAATCTAAATTTGTCATAGTACTTTAATGAGAATCTAAATTTGTCACGAGTAACGACTTTAATGTGAGTATCTGACAAAAAATGAAAAAAGGAGAAGAGAATAATTAATTGATTAATTATCGTGTGATATTTCTGTGAACATTGCCACATGGGACTAACCCATCTTCATTCAGTGATGAACAAGATGACCTAACTCTGGATTCATAACGTATATTTACTCAAATCTAGTTTTAGGGGGTGTTAACTGTACGATTAAGAAATAGGTTATTTATGTATTAATTTTTAGAAATTCACACAACTAATACACATGAATAAAGTATGAGGGAAATTATCTATTATTTTATGCAGGATAGATGATAGCATAATTAATACATGAATAATTAATTCCCACATAACATAATACATAAATTTACTCTAAAAAAATATCATTTCAATACAATAATTCAGTATTTTCTAAAATATGAATGGTAAAATCTTACTCAGTGTTTACATCAATATCGAGACATACACAACTTTCACTTATCATGATTAATTAATCAAAACATTATTTTATTAAATTACTTATCCACGATAAGTTTTACTTAAACAAGTCAATGATTACTTTTTTGTATTATAAAGGACACTTGGCAGTAAGTGATTGGTTTTTGTACTAATTAATGGTTTACTTATAAAATAGAGATACGCGGAAATTGACAAATATTCCATACGTCTTAGGTAGCTGACCACTTCCTCAAACGTTTAAGTTGAGTTATATATATATATATATATAAATCAAAAGTAGGACTAAACTGAGAGTAAGTAGCATAAACAACGATATAATTTATAATATAGCAGTTAATTTTATATATTTCAACGCGATTACTTATTGTTATTAGATGTGGCCTTGATTTTGGCCTTAAATTTTGCTTTTGTTAGTGCATGTCCCTTTCTCCTAAAGTCACCACAAAAGACTTCTTATAATTTAAATTAAAAAAAAATTAAAAGAGGGATTAGAACATATAGTTCAATGATATTTATATTCTTACGACAGAGTTCTAGATGAAGGGTGGTGATAAAATTATTTTAACAACAATCAGTCGTAAGGCGTAGTCGGAAGCTTCACAACATTTAATATATACCTATAAACATGAGATAGTTTGGACATGTGCATAGGAGGTGCATCGATGCCCTAGTGAGGAGGTGCGAGAGGTTGGATATAGAGGATACACGGAGTGGTAGGAGTAGGCCGAAAAAGTATTGCGGAGAGGTAATTAGACATAGCATGGTGCAACTTCATATTGTCGAGGACATGACTTTAGATAGGAAGAAGTGGAGGTCGCATATTAGGGTAGAAGGCTAGAAGGGGTAGAATGTTGTCTTGCCGTGTAGAGGTTTAGTGCCTGTTACAGGACTAGTCGTACCCTTATAGTTCTTTTCATATGTTGTTTATTGCATTTCGATTATCACTTTATTTTGTTGTTGTTACTATTTCTCTCTTATGCTTTGTCCATTGTATTCGTCTTTTTTTACCTGAGTTTGTTATACTTGAATCGAGGGTCTTTCGAAAACAACCTCTCTACTTGCTCTACAAGGTACTGACAAGGTCAACGTATACTTTACTCCCCCAGACCCCACTTTGTTGGATTTCACTAGATATGTCATTATTGTATAAAAATAATTTTCAACTTATATATATATAATATAATGTTTGACAAAAAATGTTCGAACTGATCACCTTACTACATATAATATTATTGAAATTGCCTACTCTAAATTTTGGCCACCAACATGTTCTAATTGATATTTTCAATAATGATATAATTAAATGAAGAGAAAAATAGTGAAAGTTGTAAATGTAAATAAAGAATGTGGTAAGTCAAGTAAAATCAACCTAACTGATATTAGGAATTTTGAGACACATTTTTATGTTTTAATTTTCTTGTTGGAATGTTAGAATAAGAAAATAAAATACATGTAGAGAATACATAATTCTTTAAAGATATGTAGAAAAAAGTGACTAAGTCAAAATTTCTCCATTTAGAATGTTTAATTTTTCTTCTTTAATAGAAATGGAATTAAACGGGTGTTCATACTTTGACTTGTTCCTAATTAATTAGTTTTAGCTCTTTGATTAATCTTCCTCAGTTTTGTACTTAATGTTTAATTTCTATGAGTCTTGTGTGACTTGCTTTTACTTTTCTGTTTCTTTATTTATTACTTCAAAGTCACACGTTGAAAAATGTTATTAGTACTAGCCACAAATTAGTCATAATTTAAAATGGTAGATCAATGTATGAGATAATCATATGGTATCTTCTTAATTAATTAATTAATTAGTTAATCCTATTGAATATGTCCAAATGGACAGCCAGATAGTTAATTTGTTGGGTTTGAATTTTAGTGATTTCATGGTCTTTTTCTACGTGTTGTAGATCAATTAGTAGGTTCTTTTTTCTCAAAAATGAAGTGAATTTTTTTGACAACTTTTTTTTCCAAAAAAGAAAGCTAATTTGAAAACTTTGCAAGTTTTGAAAAGTTTGTGTGTCGACGCGTATAGGTGCAAAAGTGCACAAATATCAAGTATTTTTATTTGAAGTTTGGTATGATTTGCTAAGGTTAATTTCTAATATTTTATAGTGTAAGATAAAGATTAACTAAAACTTTAATCATGTGTGTTTGAAGTGCGATTAAATATTTTTACTAAAACAAAAGTTATTTCTGAAATTCGGTCATACATGAGTGAAGTGCATGTAAAGCAGGTTAAAATTTTAGTAATGTGTATTAAAAGTGCAATTGATTTTTTTACCAAAAAAATTTGTTCTTCGAATTTTACATGTAAAAATTGATTAAAACTTCAGTCATATATGTATGAGTGCAGTCTAATTTTTTGAAGTTATTGAAGTTACTTTATTATATTATTGAGATTTAAACGGTGCGTTGAATTTTGGCCTCTTGGCCATCAACCTGTTCTAACTGATACTTCCATTTAATAAATATAATTAATTTGAAGAAAATAATATTGAAAGTTGTAAATAAAGAATGTGGTAATTAGTCAAGTAAAACCAACCAATACCTTATATTAAGAATTTGAAACACAATTTTATGTCTTAATTTTCTTGTTGAAATGTTAAGCTAAGAAAATTCATGTAGAGAAATACATACATAATTCTTGAAAAAAAAGTGACTAAGTCAAATTTCTCCATGTTGAAATTAGAGAGAGTCTAGCAATAATAATAAATGTATTTAATTTTCTTTTTATAAAAATGAAATTAAACGGGCGTTCCTTTTTTGACGTGTTCTTAATTAGTTTGTTTTATTTAATTAATCTTCCTCAAATTTGTATGTTGGGGGAATGTTTAATTTCATGAGCTAATTAATTAAGTAGCTTTCTTTCATTGGATGCTTCTATTTTTTTTTGTTTCTTTGTTAACTTCAATTGGTACACGTTGAAAAATGTTAAACTAGTTTCTAATTAGTCATAAAAAGGGCGGAAATTCAATGTATGTGATAATCATATATCTACTTAATTGTAAATATATGTATAAAAAATGTTCTTTGAAAAATTGCTAGTTTGAATTTTAGTGATTTCATGATCTTTTGCTTGCTCTCTTATTATAATGTCGTGAAAAGAAAAATATAGATCGAAATGAGCCCATATTTTAATGAATTGGGAGAGAGCTGAGGAAATATATAGGGTGTGTTTTGTATATATGGAGATGTTTTTCAAAAAAATTGTGTTTGGTTGATCAAAATATTTGAAAAATGTTTTCTCGAGGAAAATAAGTTTCTTAAAAAATGAGGAAGATGACTTCCCTAATAGAGATAAAGAAAACAGATTGTATAAGTGACATTCCAAATTTATTTTTTCTCCTCCCACCCATGCAATCTCCCCAACCCCAGCCCTCCACCACCCCTGAACCCACTCCTCATCCCATCCAGCCTCAAATGTCTTTAGAATAATAAGTTCATACTTACTAAACACTAGAAAATAAATAAGAAATTCACTTTTTTCCAAGAAAACATTTTCTAGTTAGGAAATCATTTTCCATGAAAAACATTTTTCTTCATACCAAACACGCACACGTTTGGCCATGCAATTTGAAGTTTAAATTTGAAACAAATATATATATATATATATATATATATAATATTTGAACAAAACTTGAACTTCAATTTGAAATTGAATTTTTTTAAATTTCAAATATTCCTATTAAAAGGTAGGATTTTAATTCCAAGTCTGTGATATCAATTTTCTTAAAATTTAAAAATTTGCCCCACAAATCAATGTTTTGGGTAACAAAGGACCTATAATTTCAAATCCTACAAAAAAAAAAAATGCTCGACGTGAAGAAGTTGTTCATATATATCATATGAAAGAATTATATTAAAGAACAATTAGTTAATAATATTGTTGATTTTTGGATTAGTAAATCTTTGTAAAATTATGTGTAATTGAAACTTTGCAATAACATATAAACCCAAATATTTATTGATAAAAAATATATAAAAATATGTAATTTATTGATATAATGTCTTAGAATATTTCGATATCTTAATTATGATTGA